CACTTGGCTATAGTTAGAAAAAGATCATGGTTTTGGGGAACAAATCTCTGCTGGAAAAGCAGCAATGTTTTGGTAAAAGCAACTGCTTTTCATGCCACTGTCCTGTCTGGAAATACAGCGACAGATTGCTACAAAACACCCATGTTTGGTGCCTAAAACGCCACTGGAAACACAACAATGACTTGTTAAATCACATCCAGTGTTTTGTGGCTTGTTGGTCTAGTTCAGTGGTATGCAGTGGTCTGCAGCTTGGCAGGGGTATCCCCTAGGTGACATACCATCCACCTTCCCCTCCATCTCCCAATGACAAAGTCAGCTGATACACTATATCACTTTAGAAATGCTGATATGATACAAATAAAACCTACAAATATTACATATATGTGATTTGCCGAAACGTACAGTGCCCACATTTGGACGACTGGGCTGTAATGTTGGGTGACTCAGGAAATTATTCGTGGCACACGTTTTAAATAACATACTTTTTAATCTTTGGCCTCGGAGGAAGGTATCAAGTACTTTCAAGTCAAAAGACTCAAGTCCAAGTGAAGTCACAAGTCATTGGTGTTAGGGTCCATATTGAGTTTTTAGATTTTGTAAAGTCGAGTCTAAAATCATCAAATTTGTGACTCAAGTCTGACTCGATTCCAAGTCACGTGACTTGAGTCCACACCGCCGGGGCTTTGTCTGTTAAAATGTGGTGTTTTTGTCACGTAAAAATGGTTTGGGGAACTGTTTTCCAAAATGTATCGGCCAGTAACCAACTAAAGTGATCTTTTGCTCTAAGAAAGAGTTGTAATTTGACACTGAAAAACCTGCCTTGAAGGTACAGATAAGTGGACAGATGTAGTCTTACGGGAGTATAGAACAACAGGATTTTCTGTGATAAGAAAAACTAGATGTAGAGATAGAACATAGTCACATCCCCTTTCTCTTCTCTTACTTTCGGTTGCTCTACAGCTGGAAGCTATAACTAATAAATGATGTAGCACTTGGATAAGGGAGGATAAAGGGGCATACTGAAAAGTTATGGGGTGGGATAGGGATGACAGAAAAAAATACTGATATGGTGTGATGATATAAATGCACTTAGGACAGATGTTTAAATTACAGGTATGAAAGGAGGACACAAGCCTGTGCTTAAGTTAACTTCTGCGATCCAGAATGATCTACTATCTGACTTAATGTGATTCAATTTGCTGTGACGAACTAATGAAAATTAAACAATAGACTTCACAAATTCACACAGAATAAGTCAACCTTTTATTTTCATCAACAAAATGGCATTTTGTTGATTTTTTTTCCTGCACCAGTAATCTGACTACTTTCTGTATTGTATGCTCCATTTGGCCTGTTTTGATTATCAAGCGGTAACATAATGGCAGTCTCTATTTTCAGTCTTCATATAGTGGGCGATACCACTGTCCAGCTGAACTGGCTGCCCTTCCATGCTAAGCGCATATAAATGACAGCTGTCATAAGCATTAGAAAAGATTAAACCCGATTTATGCGAATGTATACATTTTCTGTAATCTTTGCGGTATTCTGTTTAAAAGTAACAAACAACACCTCCGTCTCAGTTGTCACATCTCTTACTGGGAAGTGGTTCCTTTTTACCAGAAACTGCCTGCGTGACAGTTTTCATGGAATCACTGAAAACTCAACCTGGTATGAGTTTGTAGGTAGCACAGGATTATACTCTTAAGGGCTTTAAAGGGTATTCTGTAACGGCATTATATTTAGAAAGAGCCACTGCCTTACAAGGTCCCAGCCACTATTATGGAATCCTATTGTCGCTTCGCCTTTATTTTCCTCTCACATTTCTCATCCAGAATCCCCCATATTTACTGTAAACCTCATCTGCGTTATTCTTTAATGTGTTAACATTGTTGACACTATATCATTTTACTCTGCAGATCATCCACACACAAAAATCGAGGCAAAAGCATTTAGGTTTGCACTTTAGAAGAGTCCCAGATTAAGCTGGGTGCATTAATGGATTATAGGACAATGTTTTTTTCCTATTTGACTTGCACTGCTCCACAGTCACTCTGATGACGTGGTGGGATTATTGTACAGTACTGCAACCACTTTTCTCTAAACACAAGTGATAGGGACACAACGATGGCTGCATCGCCATGGAGCTAGAGATAAAGTTCGAGGATGTTTGCGACCTACATGCCATGAGGCACAGTTAATGTAGTTTATTTTTTAACACCTTATGATTGATGGAAATTTAAAAAGCCATTAAATGCACATCATTATTGCTCTATTTTATTGTTGAATATTAAGTTACTGAGCTTTGTGTTGACAAAATATGCTCATGTTTTACCTGACTCACCGAGCTGTTGCTTGTAGATAGCAAAGATGTTAGTGACAAGGGAGAGGAAGAAGCCAAAAACTGTATATCTGATACACACACAGGACAAAGAGGTCAGATAATGTGACTTAAGTGATTGGAAATCTCTTGCATTGTCATTTGAGTTAAAATATTACAATGATCTTGCTCAAGTTGTACCTATTACTGCCTCATGTGTCTTTTATGCCTGTTTTAACTGATTCGACAATGTCAGAGGTTTCCATTTGTCCAGTTGTGTTTTATTCACAGCTGACCTCTGACTGATCTTAACATCATGCCCCTCTGTAAGCGATGCAGTGCATCGTGCTTTACAGACTGACTCAGATTTGCAGTGGGATTTACAGAATCGCGCACGGGCTCCGTGACATGAACCGTCACGGGTCATTAGGTTAAGATGGGATGTTGTCTTCCTGAACCATCAAATCCAGGAATAACTGGGAATCCAGCCTGTTTTGAAAAAAGCAGAGATATTGTGACGCTTTCCTACCGACAAATGGTAGAAACAGGGGAGGCACACTGTTTGAACTTTGCGCATGTTGATTGGTCTGTGCCCTGAGGGGCTGGCTGGTGGGTGCAAGACTGTACTAAAACAATTCAACTCAATCTCCTTGCATAACGGAGGGATGGCGAATGACCTTTATATGAGCATGTTTCAGGGTCCCCCCACCACCACCCCCTCCTTCAGTCTGTACATAGTGTACCAACCTGAACGGATGCTGACTGTAAGACATTAGGTCATCTTTTCTATCTTCAGCACTCATGTTCTTTCAGAGGGAGAGAAAGTGACAGTCTGATCTCAGGTGAAGAAGTGAAGAATGTAATTACAGGACTGGAGAAGTCTTTCACCTTCTGTCATGATACTTTGGTGCCTTAGAGGGTTTACTTTTCTATTTCCTGTCAGTGTTCAATTTTGATATCAAGTACATTTTGTGAAAATCCACTTGCAGTACATTGCAACACTAAAGTACATTCAAGTCTGTGATGTGACCCAACGGTATTTTGCTGAATGAATTTTTTTTAGGTCAGCTGAAAAAAAAAAAATACATTTTACCACTAAATGGGCATCAAACACTGGTCTCGTGGGAATCAGGAGTTTGTGGGACAACGACCCAAACAAAAACTCTTTCAAAGGGGATGGAAGTGTTGCCACACGACCACATCTGACAGGAGAATGTGTGTTAACAACCTGTCATGTGAAGGTTGGGATACACAAAGTTATCCACTGTCTTCCTTTTGACAAGATTTAAATTTGTGGTCCATGTGAAACTCTTTCTCAAGGTCAAACACCTCTCAATATGCTCAAGACACAAAAGGAAATATGCGGCCCAAAGTCGCAACACCATATGAAAAAGAAAGCAAATATTTAATGTTTGTTCTCTCTTCCCTTTATGGTAGGTGGCAAGTTTTGGCTGTCTTAACACACATTTACAACAAACAACCCTGGGAGAACAGAGAGGAAACACCAACATTCCAGCTGACTGTCTCTATGGAAAGCCACTGAAAGGTAAAGTCACTCAAAATATTCTCAGAGTAACAGCAACACTAACCAAAGGACTGTTTTTGTTTCACTCAGCAGCTGAGACTCATGCAGGCTTCGTCATTGCTCTTAAAGGTTTACAAACTTTCAGTGGAGAGCGTTGTCTTGAAACTCAAATCCATCCAAAGTGATGGGTCAGTAAACATTAAGATGTGTGGGTCAGCCTGAAACTTTAATATCCCTTACATTCATCTTTTTCAAAGTCAAAAATCTGCACGTGGTGATAGTAAACTGGAATAAACTGAGATTTAGGGTAATCAAAAGAAGAAAAAACACACAGCAAATAGTCACATAACTGCACTTACTGCCATTCTGAGGTTAAAAAGTTCAAACTCTGAAAGAGGAAAAGGACATATTATCCATCAAATTAAGTTAAGTAAAAGAAAGGACAAGAACTGCTATGGCTTTGTCAGCGTTCTCCCATTACTTCTTTGATCTACTGCTTACTTTATTTTGAAAATACATTAATGGGAAACATGACTTTGACGGGACAGTCACTCTGCCAAAGTAAAAATGGAGGACTTTCCCAAGAGTCTGTGAGTGGCATGATAGTAGTTTTTAAATATTGCATAAATGTGTAAATTTTGGATATTGATCTTTATTGATTACATGTATATATTTTACCATTACAAAATAAAAGCTTTGCTCCCTTATTATGTTTGGTGCAATATCTTTGGGATAGTTTTCAGTGAATTTTATTTATATTGAAGAATAACAAGCCTGTATCCTGAGGAAATATGAGTGCCAAAACCTCTGATTGTGAAAATGGAATCAGCTTTAAAGCTTCCAGGAGGCAGATTTCTATAAAGAACAGCAAGGGCTGGAATAATTCTCCCCTGTTCTCAGACTTCTTGGTTAAGGGTCCTGTGGTTGTGGACTTGGTGGAAGTGTTGGATTGTTTAAATTGTAACCGCTAGAGGGATACATATACGCCTTTCAAACTCCGTAAACACCATCCTATCACTATGTGCCACAGAGAGCATTACCGTCAGTGAGAGTTGCCTACCTGTGTGACTTCCCACTTTGAAAAAAACACAGCCCCGGAACATTTGAAACATGAGTTGTTCTTAAAAAGACTTAGAGAGAAACTGCCTCTAAAGCGGACGGCGAGCTCCGACTCCTCCAAGTGTATCTGTGTGCTCCAGGCAATCAATGAGGACCGCGATGCTTACTACTTCTGCAGCTCTCTGTCCCTCTTTCTCTCATTCGCCTTACCAGATATTATAGTGCATTTCAACTTTTGTACAGGCATACAGGCGAGGGGGAAGTTTGGATTCCATTTTTGAGCACAATTCACCTCTTGTTTTCCTGTAATAAATATGAGAGGTCGGTTTGTTGTCACTTTTCTTTGGAATTTAATATGTGCCATTTCTTATGCTGTTTTACGGGTAGGATAAGGAAACAACAAAAAGGTGTGACAAGAGCTTGGCGGACAACTGTGGATTTCTGCGAGTAACTCCTACCGTCCAAAGGGGATGAGGGGGGCATCGGCCGGACCCCCCTCTTGATTGATTACTTATTAGTCATCCCTTTGGCTAAATGGGACCCATTGAAAAGGCACCGTGGAACACATACATGAATCAAATATTCCTGTGTCCCCTGAATGTCTCCAGAGTAGTTTTGCTTAAGAGAGGGGGTCGTGGCTTAGCATTATAAAGAGGGAAAAACAGCATAGCTTTATGGGTTTATTTAGACAGTTTCTACGCTTTGACATTCTACCGCTGTAAAAAAGACAGAAGGAAAAACTCGAGAGGATTCCAAAGAGGAGAACATTGTGGACATACATTTTTTTCTAGTTATTCCGTTGTTTCTTTTATTTTATTTTTTCCCTTCTTATTTTAAATATTTTTTTGCCATTTCCTCTCCCGAAAAATGAAACTTTGGACATCTCCCTGGGTGTCTTGCCTGGTGATTCTCATCTTGTGTTTTGGATCAGAGTGCGGGACAGTCCGGAGAAAGGGGAGATCCAAGAGGGAGTTGGTGCGCATTAGGGAGGCGAAAGCCACCATCCCAGGGGCTTGTGCCACACGTCTGCCCCGGGGCAAACGCTCTTTGCCCGGCTTGGAGCGGCGGGTGCTTCGCCAGCGTCGGCGCTCCTCACAGGCGGAGGAAAACTCTCCAGACCGGGGGAAAGCTGTCTATTTTACCGGCAGGGGAGATCAGCTACGGCTGAAGCCTGGCGTGGAGATACCCAGAGGAAATTTCACTCTGGAGATGTGGATCAAACCGGAGGGAGGTCAACGATCACCCACAGTGATTGCAGGTAGGATAGCCTACACATCCTCCATCCTATTGTCAACCCAACTCCTTTTATTAGTGTAACTCCAAAACTAGCGAGTTAAAATGGAAAACGAGAACTAAACATGCAAATGTGCAGTGTTTTATCCCAGTGTCATGTAGTCTGAAACAAAGCAACATGCAGTTTCAGCGAGTTGAAAATGAGTTCATCTATCAGACTAGACAATGATGTAATGCTCTGAAAAGTACAGCGGATGTTTTAGGTAGTGCAAGCATAGGGTCACTGAAGATTTTGATCACATTTAAGTTTGCCAGAGAGAAAAACGCTGCAATATGATTTTAATTTCCTAATTAATTTCCCTGTAATTTTCCCACTTAAGAATTCTGATGTATGTGCGCCGTGCTCATAAAAGTGAGGAGTGCGGGCAGCAGATATAGGCTACTGCATCATTTGACCGGCAGCTGATGTCACTGTGCGTAAAATGTAATTTCTCTGAACCGACTTGGCTATTTTAAAACTATGATGTAATGGCCAAAACTTTGTGAGCGAGCACGTCACGTCAGGCACAAAGCGGGAGAGATCCGTTGTAGGCGCTCAAAGCGCACAGCTCAAGCCGCAAGCTTGAGTGTCCCCCAAAATCGACACCTTTGGATTGGCTACCGGAGTTACGGGACAGGACTGAGACATCCAGGGTTTCCCTCTCCAGCCCGAAAATGTCCTGCTTGTGTTAGTGGCGGTGTGCTTTTCATGGTGACTGCTGGTGCTGTATACAGTCTGCCCAAAAACGCAGACTGTGGTGCGAAATCATGCGTTATTCGGCCAGTCTCCAATTCAAGGCACAATCAGATAGTGATGATGCATCTCTATCCACTGACTGCGCAGAGGAGGATACACACACACACGCACACACACTTGAGTAGATCCCTGCCGTCACAGGAAAGCTTGTAGTTGTCATCTGTGCGCACTCCTTTTTGTCCTGCAGCCATGCGTAAAGGAGCACAGAAAGGTATTAAAAACTGTTCTGCATCATCTGTTTTGACCAATAGCGCTTTTGTGCATTACAGTGGACTGGGCTTTTTTTGTTGCTTTTCTTTGCCGATAGGGAGCGTTGCATACACAACTCATTGCCTGCTACAGTACTTGTGCAGATGGCTGCCTTTGAACTGAATTGAACTGAATTGAACTCAGTCCTCCTCAGCCTCCCCTATGCCAGTCTGCACGTTTGGGGACTCAACTCAACCATATGAGTAAATTTACATGCTCCTTTTATTTTATATCTGTCTGGCTGTCTCGAACCCCCCTACACACACATAAATAATAGCTCATGTGTGTATTTGTGTGTGTGTTTTGAGATACAGTACACTTTGAGTTAGTGCTAGCCAGTTGGCAGGGACACGCTCTGCAAAACCAATCCCTTGTCAGAGTCTCAAAGTGGGGGAGAGGGGGGGGAGAGGGTCTGTTGTGACCTGAGTGACTCCTAGATTTACAGAGGATGGACACAATAACAGGAACATCTGTACAGTATTATGCAATCCAGTACAACAACAACAACACAAACAAGTGCCCCCACAATGACCATAGAGTTGAATGAACACCTCCTGGATACAACCTTAATAGAAAATGACACTATAGGTGTTACAGATGTTGGTGTTGGATCACATTATCTTGTACAGGTGTTGTTGTTGTCCCCCCCCCCCAATCTTGTACTGGCATCTCCCCACTAGAGATTACAACTGGTGTATAATCTTGTGTGCTCTTTTTTTTTTAAGATTTGCTCCCATTGCTCCCCCGTCCGTGTGCCACAGAGGGAACCCAAAGAGAACAAATATGATGATCAAACAAATTCAATAAAGCCTAATCTTTTAAATCCAATTCAGGCCTCAAAAATCCCAGTGCCTCGAAAATTGCTCCATCCCCTTGTTTTGATCCCGGCACTGTGTTGTTTGCAGCAGCTGTTTTTTTTACTGTGTTGTTTTGACCACCGCTGTTTCTCTTTCTCTTTCTGTCTCTCTTTTTCTGTCTTTTTCAGTTTTCTTTGTTGTTACACTTGTGTTGTTGTTTTCTGTGCAACTGGTTGGGAATCATCAAAATAGCATCAAACTCTGGGATGAGTTGCCTCTATATGTTGGCTAGCCCCCACAGTCTGTTTTAAAACACAGCTTTATTTTTCGGCTTCCAGTTCAGTATGAGAGTTGCCGTATTGCTTTTATCATTTTATTGTCATTTTGTCTTTTAATCTGGTCTTTGTGTGTTTACTGCACTGTTTTTTGATTGTATAGATTGAGATTGATTGGTCAACTTGTTTTTAAGTGTGCTTTATAAATGCAATGGGATCGGCTTGGATAAAATGAGCACAATATCTGGCTTGAGGAAAGAATAGTGGAAGCCCTGGAGTGGTTTGGTTCTTTGCATCCTTGCCCAGCCCCAGTGGCTCATTATTGTCTTTGTTTTTAAGTTGTGTGTTACACACACACAAATCTTATATCTCTATGGAATATCTCCATTTAATAACAATGGATGATGGATCTATTTACCATACCATATCACCATACCATTACATCTACATATGGAATGGGTCCTCTTTCATTGAGTCTGCCATGTTTCTACAGTAGCCCAGAATGGACAAATTAAACACTCGCTCAAGATAGGGGCATTTGCATTTTTGTGTCAACAATAGTTCTTCTTCATGCTTGGCACACAGGAGAAGTTTCGGTTGGTTGCAATCTGCAACCTCACCACTAGATGCCACTAGATTCTACACGCTGGACCTTTTAAAGGTATACTATGCATAGGCTCATACAAAAGTACTCTCACTCAGTCATTATTTATGAACCACTAGAAGTGTGTGGTGGTGTATTTATCTGCAGAGACAATGCCCTCTGCCTGTATTTTTGCATTTTCTTCTATTTTTGCTCTGTTTGGGATGTTTCCAGGTGCAGCACAAAGGTGAGGTCAGGACTAAAAAGGTAGAGACCACATGCCAGACAATAAGCAACTCTAATCCAAGAGGAAGTCACAAAAGTTGAGGACACAGCTTTGAAAAAACCCAAATGTAGAGAGCCAAACGCCAAGTGGACAAAGCTCTTTCCAAGACGATAGTGAAACTGGGGTTAGCTTTCACTTCCACTTTAATTTTCACTGGTGATACTGTTTATAAACACTAGCTGTCATTCCCTGCATAGTATTCCTCAAAGTTATTTAAGTGGAGTCAACCAATTTTCTCTCAACAATTCCTTGGAGAGCTAAAGCAGGACCACTTATGGGTGAAATGAGAATGACCAGGGATCAATAGCTGTAACTTTATACTCCACAGATGAGCAGTCAACCCATCATCAAATACAACTGTAGATTATCTTGTGCCCTTTGAATTAAACTACAAGACTTCAAGGGAAAAAGAAACCTGTTTCCTGTACTGTCATTTCCCGAGTGTGACAGTTACATGTGGTCAGAATTGATCCCAGGTTGAAAAGCATTTGAAACGTTTTAAAGGTTTACGCACACACACACACACACACACGCACGCGCACACACACGTACGCTGTGTCCAAATGTTATGCAAACTTTGTTGTGCCCTATTAGCCCTTGTATCCGGGTCATTTTGGGTTGTCCCGCATCAAAGGAAGAGGAAAATAAATCACAAGAGGGATGGAGGCTCTCCTCCATGACCTGCTGGGGACAATTATATGCAGACGTTAGCAGATAATCACTGCGATAACAGATATATTTTTGGTACGGTCATCTAGTCACGAAAAAAAAAAGTTCAAAAACACATTTAGCTTTGCTGGTCCTTTTTTCATGGATACTTAAAAATTGTATCCTAATCCTGTTTCATCATAATTGAATGTAACTGGGAGACTAAGAGGAAGACGAATAACCTTTAGATCATGACTAATTACCTGGCAAGTGGTTAGAGTCTGAAGTGGGGTTAAGCCCTGAGTGCAACACTTATACTCAGCAATTAATACCTCGACTAAAAAACATCTTCACAGTCCCCTTATTAGTTTGAATCATGATCATGGTCATGCACTGTGCCTCACTTTGCCATAATGAGTGTTTGGAAAAGAGTTGTTGAGTTCCCCCAAATCAGCCAAATTAATGTCCTCAGTGTCAGTGCAAGTTACAGTGTAGAAAAGTGGTGTTAATTTATGTCATCTGGCGTTAAAAGTGCAACAATTGGTAGATCATTTATGACTCATAAAAATCAGCATTTAGTTGAATTAAATCAGAGTGAAATTTGACAGCCAAGCCAAACGTTTAAAGCCAAGTGTTTTCAAGTGGTGTGATGACATTTTTTGCAATCAATATCCTTGTTATGTTCGCTAAGTTTGTTTTTAAGATATCAATGGGATTTTCCATTATCTCCTCAGGGAAACTGCTGTGGCGGTCACTTTAGTATGAAAAGTGCCTTTCGTTGACCTTTCAGAGCCAGAACAGCTCAAAAGTAAACGAAGTCTTCATTGTTCCCTTCCTCCCTGCTTTTTATCAAGTCCTTGTGACATTTTTCTTTGTGTGTGTATGTGTTTTTTAACTTTTTTCCTGAGTGTGTTTTTCTTGGAAGAAGACAAATGGCAAGTGTGGGGAAGGTTTGCCTTTGAACCTGACAGGAACAGCTCTCTACCGTAGCGTGTGCACATGTAAATCCCTTTGCGTGTGTGTGTCTGTTTCTGAGAGGACACAAGTGTGTACTTCAGCTTTTCAGCTTGTCTGTGCGTATGGTAGTGTGCGTCCTTTTTCACGAGCACATACGTATATATTTATGCATGTCCGTATAAGTATGAGCATGTGTGTGTGTAGGTGTGTTTGTGTGAGCCAGAGGAGTCGCAGTGCAGGGTCTGGAAAAGTGTAGTGTGTTAGATTAATTGAGCATGGCAGAATTATGACAGCTGTTTACACTAGGAGCCCTACGAGCATTTTAGCACACCTTTTAGCCTTGAGTGCACTGGCTGACAGATGGAAGGCTTTTTCTTTCCAGTGTAGTGGAAAGCCTGAAAACGTCATCCACCAAAGGACTGACCTTGATGCTGAACCCAACCCTCGCTCTTTGAACATTAGTCCATTGAAATACCAAGTTAATGAATGCATACTGAAGTGTGCATCTAATTAGAAACAGGTCAAAGTTAGAAAGATGTCCGTGCAATCACCATTAGGCAGCCACTTATTGCAGGCTCAGGTGGCCTAATCGATGGGAACAAAGGTATTTGAGTGGACAAGTGCATTGAGGCAAAGATGTGATCCTCACTATGATAATCAGCTTATAATTTCAGACCATACTAAAGGCAGCAGAGGCAAATATGAAGGGTATTTACAGGCATTTGATGCACAGATCCTAGAAACAACTACAAATGACACTCAATGCCTATATGGACTGGATGTATATAAGAGCCAGAAAGATCATAGTTCCCCTGATGGTAGCAAATCCCAGGAATGATTTCTTGTGACAAGAGTGGAGTCCCGCTCCCTCCCCAGAATCACCTGTGAACACAGACTTTCACAAGCTGAGATGGACCTTGTGAGGCACGTCAAGGTGCTTTGGAATCTTTGCACACTTTGACTGGACCGTATGGATATACGCACACAGTCACGAACACGCATTAAAAAACACACACACATGCACAGACATGAACTTGTGTGCCTGCGCACACGTACCTCAACAAGCGCTAAACAAACAAGCAGTTAACATTCAGAGATCCCCTAAGAAGTGAAAACACATTACCATGCTGAAGCTGACATGCACGGTCCAAGTGAAACAGGAAAAAGGTGTTTTGGTGCCTCTACAAAAACAAGGCTTTAGCAGAAAACTAGCCTTTTCTGGCTACCCCACTGGCAGGGGACATTCACACGAACGACTTTAAATGCGCTCAGTGTTCACGAGAAGCCTATACAGAGAGATTTCCATGGGGTCTCCCTTAGCTAAACATGCACTTCCACCCAATTTCCAGGACAACACTCACTTAGAAATGAAAAATATATATCATATTAATACATATGCTCCCTATCTACATTTTTGGTCTCTCTGGAAATAACACTTCTTAGAATATTTGAGAATAAAACAGTGTTTGAAATCTGGTTCTCATATTGACCAACAAATACTCAAATAAAATTAGCATTAAGTTTCATATGTATGTTGCTTGTGAAGATTGCAATATATCATATTATTGAAAAATGAAGATGTGGAACGATAGCGTCAGTAAAGTGTCAGCACTCTTACAGGTGACCACTGAACAATGCTTTTTATCACTGACGATTTTCTTCCATGTTCACATCCACTTTTTCACCTGGAAATCAAGGCACACCACATGTTAATCAACCTTTTTTCATTCTCTCTCCAGGCCTGTACGACAAGTGTTTCTACGCCTCCAGTGACCGAGGCTGGCTGCTTGGCATCCAGGCGGTTAGTGAACACGGGAATCGTGACCCCCGCTTCTTCTTCTCCCTTAAAACTGACCGTGCCCACAAAGTGACCTCCATCCACTCCAATGCTCGCTATGTACCCAACCAATGGGCACACGTGGCAGTCACATATGATGGTGTGTACATGAAGCTCTTTGTCAATGGCGCCCAAGTGGGTGTCAGTCGGGAGCAATCGGGCGATGTCTTCAGCCCTTTGACCAAAAAGTGCAAAGTGCTGATGATCGGGGGGAATGCACTGAATCATAATTACAGGGGGGCAGTGGAGAGGGTGGGCCTATGGAGGCAGGCCAGAGGGCAGAGGCAGATTGTCAGGGATATGCAGGCCCACGAAGACCCCCAAGATCTACCTCAGTTGGTCATACGTGAAACATTCGAGCACCCAGGCCGGAAGTGGCTGACTGTAAAAGATGGTAGCTTTCCTCAGCGATTAGGGTTTCTGGGTGGTGTCGGAGTCATAAATTCTGAGGGATTATTGGACACAACGCTGGACCCTCCAACTTGTGGTCAAACTGTCTGTGACAATGTCGAGGTCATCAAAAACTACAACAACCTTTGGACCTTCCGTCGGCCCAAGAAAGTACGATATCGTGTCATAAATGTTTGGGATGATGCACGGATTAGGCCAACTGTATCAGACCACCAGATCAGCCTGCAGCACCAGCAGCTAAATGATGCCTTTAGCCCCTACAACATCACCTGGGAGCTTAGCATTCACAACGTGACCAATTCAGCACTTCGAAACAGATTGATCCTAGCTAACTGTGATATCAGCAAAGTTGGTGATGATTCATGTGACCCAGAGTGCAACCACCCGCTGACAGGTTTTGATGCAGGTGACTGCATGTCGGGATATCGGAGCCGTTGCCCTGAGCACAAGCAGGGGAATGGTATATGTGACCCTGAATGTAACTGGGAGAACTTCTTTTATGACCTTGGTGACTGCTGTAACCCCAATGTGACGGATGTGACCAAGACATGCTTCAACCGCTCTTCCCCACACAAGTAAGCTCCCTTTCTTCACATTTTGCATGTTACCACGTTTCAGCACTGGTAATCCTCTTTGGTGGTTGTTTAATAAACACAAGGCTTAAATTCACCAAAAAGCTTTAACCAACCACAGCATTCTTTGCTTAATTTGATACATTTTTTTGGTTGACGTGATTGAATAATTTTGGTAAACCAACTCCACACGATGGCCTCACATGTCTAGAGTAAATCAAACAACAAATCTTTCCATACATGTGTCCCTGAAGAGAGGTTTTAATGTCTAGTCCTACTGTTTCCTGACCATTTGGGCTGAGGCTCAGTGTAACATAACTCCCAGCCTGTGTGGCCTGGGAATTCCTCTGGGAGCAGCTAGTCCAATCTAGCCTTGGCCTGGTTCAATCAGTGTTCCACACTTAAGCGGGGCAAAACAAACGCAACCGGATGACTTTCCTAGTAGCAAATGCGCAGGCCAGACCGCTCATTTTTGTATCAATTTTTCAACAACTCTCCTCACCTTTTTCTACTCTGTGTCTCCTATACCCAATGGTCCTAATTAAGCTGGTCTGATTGGAGAAGGGAGTCGGCTTGGAAAGAGTGACATTCTAAACAGAGTGTAAGGGCAATTAGAGGTCAGAAAAGAGAGTCCGGTATGGCTTTTACTTGGAGTAATGGAAATCATTTCAAAGACATGCCAAGTTTCTTCAGGAAACCACTGAAAAACATGTTTCCTAGACAGGCAGGTATGGGTCCCTAAACGTGAATGCCTGAAAGAATTTTCCAGGAAAACAGAGAAGAAAGTTTACCTCACTTGCACGCAAATCCCAGCATAACAGAATCTCCTAGGTGTACTGAACATCAAGCAGGAGATTATGTGGTTTTATGTGGCTACTTTTGGAGAATACAGCGGCCTTCATAAATGCATGCAAATTTTTGTTTCTGTGGTAATGTCATTGTGGCTTTTAGATGATGAGTAAAGCTGGCAAGGAGAATACATCTCTGGAATTCTGGATTTGCTGTAATAAGGTTTGTGCCAGACCTCCAATAGCAGGATTGTTTGTTTCTTGGTACACTGAAACTCAACACAGTAGACTGAGACATTTTTGTGGACAGTGCAGGGGGTCTTTATGGGTACGCCAGAAAAAGAGACAAAAATGAACGAGATTCCGATGTTTGTCAGGATTTCTTCTTGCCACTGTCATGTGGGGACAAGCGAAAGGGAGGAAAAACGAGTAGACCTAGTGTGTGGGATTGTTTGGGTCTTTCTGATAGCATGAATCAAGGAAACCAGGCTGTTTTCAATCATAGTTAAGCTGGAAGCATTGTCTGTTTGGCACAATCCGGTTGTTTAAAATGACCGCAAAATAGCTAAATAATGACATCTAATTAACAACATGAGAGGGGGAAAGCAGGTGGGTTTGCCGTTGCTTCCATCTCTCAATTCCCATCACATCCCTTCCAGCTTAGTCATCATTAGAAGCTAATTCATCAAGTGGCAGGCAAACTACTTCATTTAGACATCAGCCATTGGCAAAACGCTTGCCGTTGCAATGTTGAAACCTCCCTGCAGGCGTTTAAAAGATGGGCTCGTGAAACGAAGGATACCAGCAAGAGAGAGAAGAGACAGAAAGAGGACAAGAGAATTCTCTGTCTAAAAAATAGATATAATCTCCCCAAGTGGTTGCTTATTTTGCTTTGATTATGGTATGTCTGGAGAGACTTGCAGAGAGCTGCACTACAAACAGTTTGACATTCCTCCTTAATTATGGAATTCTGGATGAACAATGTACCGCGTATGCAGGGGGAACAATGGTTGTGAGGTCCTGCATTTATTTTTGCAGCGTTTGCGCCTGTTACCACTTACGTGTAGTGTTTTCAAAAATCTGGCTAACACAGGACACAGGCAGCTCTGTGGTCCTGCAACAGTCTCCCCTCTGAAAATACCATTGATAATAATCCCCCCTCTCCCCCCCTTCACATTGGCTGAGGGAAATATTTTGCATTGTTTTCACAGCCCATGGTTTTGACACTTCTTATGGTTTTGGTGGTATTTGATGTTATCTGACAGCATTTATTTTAAGGCGGAACATTCTTATGTCTGAAGCAAGGGACATTTGAAATTGTGGCTGTAATTTATACACTGTGAATATACATTACATGTGCAGAAAGGCAGAAAACAAATGGTACTCTGAAGAAGTTGTTTGAGCTGCTGATGGTTGTGCAGTGGTACCCCCAGAAATTTTTCACTGGGGTGGCTCGATGGAGCCACTAAAAAATCTTGGGGTGGCACAAAACCAAAAGCCATTGCTGAATTTCAGGAATTCGATTATGCTGTCAGAGTATAGGCTATTAAAAAATCATGTCAATGTCAGAGTTTAGGAATGGTATACTGATATATTTTGCTTTCTCATTTTACAGTTAATATGACTAATTATCTGATGTGCATAGACCAATACTGGTACCATTAACATTTTGAATTCCACAACAATCCTGTTTTGATATGTGATGTATCTGTTTATACATGTGTTAGGTATTTCATTGTTCTTCAAATAGGCTGGTTGTCCTTTTCTTTAAAGGGATAGTGCACCCAAAAATGAAAATTCAGCCATTATCTACTCACCCATATGCCAAGGGAGGCTAAGGTGAAGTTTTAGAGTCCTCACATCCCTTGCGGAGATCCAAGGAGAGAGGGAGTAGCAACACAACTCCACCTAATGGAGGCTTACGGCGCCCCAGATTCAAACGTCCAAAAGGACATAACTGAAACCACAAAATATCTCCATACTGCTTGTCCGTAGTGATTCAAGTGTCCTGAAGCCCCGACATAAAAAGTTGTTTGGAAAAACGTCATTTGAACTCTGTTTTTAGCCTCATTGTAGCCTGTAGATATTTTGTGGTTTCAGTTATGTGTTTTTGGACGTTTGAATCTGGGGCGCCGTCAGCCTCCATTAGGAGTTGTGTTGCTACCTCCTCTCCCCTTGGATCTCCGCAAGGGATGTGAGGACTCTAAAACTTCACCTGAGCCTCCCTCGGCATATAGGTGAGTAGATAATGACTGAATTTTCATTTTTGGGTGCACTATCCCTTTAAGAATACAAATATTATTTTTTAATTTGAAGGAGTACATTGATCGTAGGCAGCAAAACATTTACTGGAAACAAGCCTTCTCAAGTTTTGGGGAGACTTTTGGGTACACGTAGAACCCATTTTCATTACGATATCTTGAGGTGAGAGTTTGAGAGACCCCTTTAAAATGGCCATGCCGATATCCTTGCCAAATTTAGCCTAACTGTGGAGCAGTGTTTACTCCCCTTTCTAACAAGCTATGCTGACATGGTTGGCGCCAATGGATGTCTTTTGCTGTCTAGTTTCACAAGATACCACTAGCCTGCTAGCTGTAAAATGAGTGCCCCACAGCCTCTTAAAGGGATACTTCACCAATTTTTAACCGGCTTTTTATCATAGCAGCGTGGGTACTATATGGAAATGAACTGTGGTGAACTTCCCTTCATCTTACCAGCAGCCAGATCTCCCTGCTACTCTCTCAGCTCAAATCAGATGAATGATGCATTTGCATCATCCAACGGATTGAGCTGGCTCTAGGGCCGTTCCTCGAACCACAGATCGTGCTTTCTCATTTTTTGCATGCCCGCGACCATGTACACAAAGAGTATAGAAGGGGATATATAGAGAGAATCTCCACCCCAAGACCACACTAGGATCAGACTGTAAACTAGGTAGTGCTATATAAACCAAGATTCTAAAATATAAACCTAGGTTCTATCATTGCATTGCATATTTCTTGCCTAAAATGTCTTCAGAACCATATTAAAGTGCACTGTTTGGCTGTGTTAAGAGAGTCTGTGGACAGGAAGTGGGTGCCATACTATTTCCTGTACTGTAAAAACAGAGGCTGAAAATACTGAGATCAAATGGTAAAACCAAGCATCACTGATCAAATAGGAACTTAGTTACTGTCACTGTGTTGCTTATTTCTTGCCTCAAATGTTTTTGGAAAAAAATTTAGCTTACTGTTTAACTGTAATTCTAGATAGACCAGCAGGCCGCCATATTGTTTCCTGCACAAAAGCCAGCCGAGCTTGCAGTACATCCCCCACCAACAGGAGCGTTTATTGGTCTGATGTGATGTGATGCAATGCATTCTGGGAGTTGTATGTTTTCTACTTCTTGAGCAAAAACAAATGTCACAGCCCTTTCTGTTTTCTCTGATCTTGTAGCACATATATCAAAAGTGTTTGCAACTGTATACTGCTTAGACAGCTCAGTTCTATAAAAATAACAATCTCTCCAGCAGTGAAATACTTCTATAAAGACAGCAATATCAGCCTCCAGTCATTTTTGCCACAAGGGGCCAGTTAAAGGGCCAGCAATTGTATCAGAGTGGCCCTGGTCCCCCCTTGGGGGTGCCACTGTGTGTTTTTGACTGTGAATGAAAGATCAATGTAATATCTAAGCAACTTGACAGAAGATCAATCCCATAATATCAAAACTCATCAGATTTGGAAGGTTTTGCGAGCACCCGAAATTAAAATGTTTTTTGGAAACACCTCCCGAACTAAAGTAAGATTGATACACAAACTTTGCAAGATGGATATTAGGACCATTTTGGCCTCAATATGTTTTTGGGAAATGAAGTTCTGGCCTGGCTTTATCGGAGGCTAACAGGTCATCTGTTTTCCCCTGGCCTCTGTCTCTCTCCCCCTCCTGAGTCAATACCTCTCACTGTGGCAGGTTAATGGATGGACCACCCTTCCTCTTTCCTTCACTCCCTCTCCCTGCTGTATTCTAGCTCAGAGTGGGGAGCTAATCTCCATGGCCCTTGACTTGGGTGTTTTACAGTTGGTCGTCTAAACCTTAAGCCCCCATCCCATAAAACATAATGGAGTGCTTGGGCGTAAATACCAGGAGTTTGCACTTCCCCTTTAAAGCCATAGCATACTTATAAAAGCACCTGTTGCTGAAGTTTCACCTGTGCTCGCATGGGGCCTGAGAGACGT